TTCTTTAACTATATACTTTCCACGAACTGCCCTTAGTGAAGTAACATTCCACTTCCACACCACTATAATCTCGCAACGGAGCCCTATAGCTGTGTGCTTTGTTACTTGTGCTGTATTAAGAAGGCTACAGTCCACTTGTAACACTATATATGTATTAGATTATATAAAATTTACTTAAATTTGATTGGCTAGTTAGTATCAGGTGGGGGGGTACCCTCTTAAGAGGTGGAAATCATCTGATAAATGTCTATACCTTAAGGCTAACAAGACAAAAAAAAAACAAAGAAAAAAATTAATATCTTATTTTAAAACACTATATACATGCTCTTCCAGTGCTGATTTATGTTCAAAAATCTCCAAAAAAGAAACCGACATCCTTCAAGAAAAAAAGCCAATATCCTTCAAGAAAGAAAACTGAATTTAATAACTGGACTAATAAGAAAAAAAAAAAAAAAATTTAATATCTTATCTGAAAAGCTGCATATATATTTGCCTGGTACTAAACAACATCTGGCAAAACCTAAATGAAAAAAAAGATTAGTAAAACAAAACAACTTTAAAACAAAATAACTAAAGCAAAAAAAAGGAAATAATATGCCTAAAAAGCCTCTTAACATTCGCCAGTGCTGATTTATACTAAAAAAAAATAGAATTAATGATAAAAGAAAAAAAAAAGCAAAGTAAAAAGAAAAAAAAAAAGTATTTCTTACCTGAAATGTTATTTTGGTGTTTCGCTTCCTCAAGTCTACAAAACTAAAAAAAAAAAAAAAAAAAAAAAAACAACTGAGATCTAGATTGAATCAGATTAAAGAAATTACTCCTAATCCAGCTCACCCTATTTATATGATTATCAATCTTTAATGTGATTGGCCAATCATATAAGGGTTGCCATAGTGATGGGTTGCTATTGTATTTTTGTCTTAATAAATATTTATAATAGTTTTTTCTTATATTTATTATAGCATTATTTTGTAGTTTATTTCATTACAATATTATATAATTAATATAGTCAACCTTCTCTATAGTCACCTCCATAGTCACAAAATTAATATAATTACAAATTTAATTTTACCAATTATTTATAGCTATATAAAAAATACCTCTATATTAGTTATACTTCTTTATAATCATAGTTTTTTGTATTCTGAAGATGTGACTATAGAGAAGTTTAACTGTATTATCAAATATTATTATTAAATTATAAAATTTCTTTAAAGAAATTTAAAACAAGATGATTAATTAGTGATTCACCAGTCAACCAAAGAAGATCTGCAAATTTTTATAAGTAAATTTACTATTGAGCCAAATGTAAAGTGCATCAATCTAAAACTTTTTTTCTTACTAAATAAATCACTCTTGAGCTTATAACAAAAGTTGTAGAGCTTATCAAGACACATCTAATAGTGACAAGAATGTTAAAATTGGCCTGGTAGTTCTTAAAAAATCTTTAAAAACATTTCACTAACATATAAAATTTCTTTTAAAAAAAATTAATTTTTTTTAAAAAAATTTTATATATCAGTAAAATATTTTTAAAGATTTCTCAAGAACCAACATACCAATTTACTTAGTAAGAAAAAAGTTTTAGATTGGTGCGCTTCACATTTAGCTTAATAGTAAAATTTACTTATAAAAATTTGCAAATCTTCTCTGGTTGACTGGCAAATCACCAATCAATATAATAAAAACTATATTATTTATAACTATATAAAAACTATATTATCAATAACTATAAAGCTAAGTAATATAATATAAATGATAAACAAAGCATAACAGATCTAACAGGTTATATTATAGAAATTAAAAATATACAGTTAATGTAGAAATATATTAATGCAGATTATTGATCTGAAAAGATGAATTTCAATAACAAAACATGTGATAGCAAATAATCAAATTCTAAGAATAATCTTATATTATAACAAAAACAATATATAATTTCTTAGATTTTTGCTAAGTCACAAAATATAACATAATCAATTATTGAATTAAGTATATTGTATTGTCTTTATATAAGAATTGTCTAAAACATAAAGCTAGTAAAAAAATCTGAACTAATAAAATAAATGCAAAATATTAATTATTAGATAATATGATCATTTTTTATCAAAGCATTTTAAGAACAAAAATTGATTATAGTTTGAATAAATATGTATTAAAATGAATTTCAATTTTTTTTATATATATAGATCAAACTTACAAAGCAAATTAAATTTACTTATGAATATATAATTGTATAAATTAATTAAAAATATAAAAATAAGAAACATTACTATCCCATATAGCCTTTCTTATAGTTATTACTTCAGTAAAAAACAATCGATTATGTTTGTATAGCTATATCAAATATCAAACTTCTAGTTAGACATCACATTCCATTAAATGGAAATACTTTTTTCCATCAAACGAATTACCACAAATTGTTAGTCCTGGAGATATTGTATTTATCACTAGTAAATACATCATCAATAATTCTGAAGAATGTGTAGCTATTGCATATACTAGTATTATTAATACTGAAAGACCTAAATGTGAATTTGACATAACCAATGTTCCCATATGTACCACCACTGCATGATCACAGTCTGTGTTAATCGTAATCCCAAAAAAACTGAAGAATTCATCCATTTTGGAGCAGATTGTGTAAAATACAACTGAACATCTAATAATAAAATGGAAATAACCATTCTTTATGACTCCCAATCTATAAGATTAAGCATTTAGGTGTATAAGGAATTAATATCAAAATAAACAATATTTATATTATCTCAGAATTTATTAAATTCTCTGATTCCGGTAAAATGATGATAGAAGCCACAGACATCGATTTTCAAAAATCCCCAACCAACCATCCTAACGCGCCTGAAATTTCATCTGATAAATCAAAGACCCGCTCGATTATTGATATCATCGCTGATGATATCGATTCTGGTACCACGCAAACATCCAATCAATCTTCATCTAAGACTATGCCCGCTTTCATCATCCCTGACTCTTGAAACAAAGAACCAATCGAAATTAGAGGTTGAGAACGATGCTAAAGAACAGCAAGGTGATCATGAAGAAGAAAAGGAGACGTTTTCGGATGAGTACGGAAAGTCAACAGGCGAAAATGAAAAACAAGAAGATGAAGAGCAACCTAAGAAGAGAAAGCGAAGTATTAGAACTATTAAGAAGGAAAAGGAAAGACTGTTGTAAAATAAGAAAAAAAAAAAAGTAATACGTAGCTTCTTCAGCATACGATTAAATTATCATCAAAGTAAATAGTTATTTTTTTTAAAAAAATATTATCGCGTAAATTACATCTATTAAATAAAATCGAGCGTTTGAATAAAGTTAAGTGTAAATCGAATGATCCGTTTAATAATAAATCAAGCTATCAACATGATACAGAATGTACAGCACGCCTGAAATAAAACTTTTGCTTGCACGCAATACACTGTGAAAGTACACAAACGTTTATTTTAACGAACAGCAGACAACACAAAACTTCATACATAAAATCGACTGCATACTAATAAAAAGTAACCTTTCGCAAAATTTGACATAAGCCCTCCTTCGGGCATGACCCTTACCCCAACGTAAGAAAGTTCGTCACTTTAAAAGCATGCACATTTACTAGCGTAGATCATCTTAGAGTTCATAGGAAGACTTCTTATGATCGGCAGTTTAAATCAATTTAACTTTATTTATACAGTCTAAAGTACTTTTTAAAAAAAAATAAAAATACAAGAATAAACAAAAAAGAAGCATGTAGAAAGTTTTATTAGGGTTGTAGGACTCTAATATTTGTAACCAAAATATCTTCTTGTTTTAAGAAGTCGCCATTATGCTAATTTATCTAAAACCATAAATAATTTCGATCATTTTTAATGGTCGGGTCCCGCAACCCTAATAAAGCTTTCTAAAAAGTACTTTAGATGTATAAATAACGTAAGTATGATTTAAACTGCCGATCATACGAAAGTCTTCCTATAATATTCGAGTCTGGAGCTGGTTTTAACCGGGTTTAACACTATGAAAAACAAAACCGGATCCAAAATATAATTCACCTGATCAGGGCTGTGTACAGATGTCGATCATCGCATACGTATTTACCGTAATACATAATAGGAACAGCCAATCAGAATCAAGATTTTGTGGACGAACGCAAAAAATGAATTAAACCATACACTATACGTTCCAAAACCCTTTCGAAAGTAGATGAGCCAAAAAAAGATAATTTCTTTAGCCAAGAATGGCGTTGGGGCATTTGTCTTTCCATGCCGAAAAATTGAATTCACATATTGTGAGCGTAGTGGAAGCAGTCGTGGCATGATGTAAAATAATCTGTTTTTTTTTTTTACATCAATAGTAAAACTTTACGTTGTATGATGATTTCTTATTATACGATCATTAGTGAATATTTAAAGACTCGTTTAATTCCGTTCGCCAAGAAAAATCCGCAAATTGAAATTGTGGTAACACCTAAACCCTCAAAACATCCATTCATTCGCGGCCTATATCGTTAGTTTTATCAATGGACCACTTGATTCTTTAACATATGTTTCATAGATTTAACGAGCATCTTCTTTAATCGCTCTAGTAAATGGTAGAGAAAAAGGAATAAGTGTTAGGAATAAGACTCCCAAAGAAATTGTGGAGACAGTGAACCTTATACGTGATAACACGGGATTCAAGAATAATAAAAGGTTCAAGAAACCAGTAATATCTACTACTCCAAGTGTTAGAGGAATTTGGAGCCCTTTTAACACACAACCCCACAGCATCTAAATCAGGCAAGTATCTAGTAATTTCAATTAATAATTTACTACTTTTTTTTGCAAATGATATTCCTTACAATTAGTAGGGATCTCGAGATCATGAAATAATTTCTTGTTCATTTGGTTACAATCGATCTGCTATGATTTAATCGACGCATTTCGAAATAAGTAGGATTTTTTCATTAACATTTTTATTATGTTAAATTATAAACGGAAAAATAAAATAAGCACTCTGATTTTAATTTTGAAACCCACTATTATAAATATTAATAGATAGAATTTAGGCTTTTGTGTTAAATTTAGTTATTTTTAAAAATTTATAAAAAAGTATAAAAAAATATAAAAAATTTTTTTTGTATATATAAATATTCAAAATTATCCCATGGGTACTATGTAACAACCCGTTCTTTTTTGATAGTTATTTTTATCGGTTTATATAAAAATCACATGATTAAGAGTAGAGGGTACACAAATTACTTTTCATAGTAATCATATGGTAGATCATTTTATAATAGCAAATCAATTGTATCTATATGTTATTTATATTGTACTACCTAGAAAAATTTACTAGTAAACAAATCAGGTGATCAACATATAATATTCATCTTCCCCAGCATCGCCACCAATTTTTTTTCGATCACGTGATATCGACAAAATTCTTTAGAGTTCGTTTATGTTAGGATTAGGGTTATAATTAGGGTTAGAAAGGTTTGGCATATTGTAAAATTACCCAAGGAATTTTTTTTGTTAGAACATGAAAAGCGGTTTATTAAGCAAAATTTTGAGTAAAGAGAGATTTTTTGAAGACGAACGTTTTGTTTTGATCTTCATGATCGTGTTACGTTACACCAAGGCGTGATTTATTATTAGATAATTTCACGTGATCGAAAAAATTTTATTAGTAATTTGGTGGCGATCCTGGGGAAGTTATAATATTCTTTACCCTTAATGTAGACTATATAAATAACCTTGTTATAAATCATTGTGTTTATGTAGGTTTGAGTTTTTTTAAATGGTTGTATACAAGATTTTATTTAGATTTCAATTTTTTAAATTGTCATATACTAGAAAAAACATTTTTTTGGTTTTTTAAATTGCCATGTGTTAGGAAAACATTATTAAGTTTCAGTCTTTTAAATTATCTTGTGCTAGGAAAACATTATTTAAGTTTGGGTTCTTTAAATTGTTATATTCAGAGAAGGATTTTTTATATTCTTTAAATTGATATATATTGAAAAGGATTTTAAAATTGTTATTTGCTAAAAAACTAGTTTTTTTTAATTATAAAAAATATTTTTTTTAATTAATTATTTATAGAACTTTTTTTTTTTAATATTTAAGGTGAGGTCATGCCTCTGGTTTTTATTAACATATACTTAGATATTTCCTTACATATATGCTAATGTAGCACTACAGAGACTTAGACTAATTTATCTACAACCTAAACCTACTAAAGTGGTTTATGCTCTACACATGTTTCACCTAGATTAACGTTTCTCAACTAACTATTTCTAGTAATATCACATTCCTTTCACGTCTCACCTGATCAGTCATAACTACTAATTTGGTACGTCGCATGTCCGCTCCTAATGAGCTTTCAAGTTGGTATACCTGCAAGCATGATCTATTGCAATTTCCTTCTAAGGTATTTTATTCGTATAATTGTAATTGGTACAGGTGGCCTAATAGCCTCGTATCTCAAGCCAGGAACTTGCTGTCTAGTTAGGTTCACCACATGACAGAGTTGATATTTTATTGTTGAATTAAGGACTTATCTTGGGTTTGCACCACCTTAACCAGTTTGCATCCCTTCATACATCATCTCTCTTCATGAATGCTCTAATTTTCAACTTATCTGCCTAGGTACTATTAATCCATATCTCAAGCCAAGTCTTGCTATCGCCGCTGGTTTGCCACCCCAGGACTTAACATTTTTTTTCTAATATAGTGGTACTAACTAATCCATTTGTATTTTCTCATATGGTATATTACCAGAACCATATTGTGTAGTTGCTTTAATAACTTATTTTGTTAAAGACCAGCTTAACACCACAAAATTTCTTAAGTGGCAAGCAATTCTACTTTCAACTGTAGGCTTTGTATCATGTTACTAGGAGGCGTACTCCAATTCACCTTGACTTCCAACTTGACTCTTCATTATTGGTTGGTATTGCATTATTGTTGGTATATTCTGGCTTCTTTTGTCAAAGACTTCTATATAGGTATGACCAAAGCTTCAACTTGGTTCCTTTATATATACTAGATTAGCTCGCCTGCCCCTATAAAATTACCTTCTTTATTTAGTTGTTCCACAGTGCCA